AAACAGGACAGGTAAGCAAGGTTAAAAAACGTTTGGTTTGAAACAGTCAGGCGACTAATTTAGGCCACAATCCCCGCCTTTTCGATTTACTCAGACTTCATTTATTATAATAATAATAATAATAATATATTATTAATATTTTCAATTTTATTGTTACAAATTTTCTCTATACTTTGTTCCAATTTGCTGTCTGTTTTTCTTTTCTCTTAATTCTCATCCGCAAAACCCTACTTTCTTTTCCATCGAATAATAATATATCTAACGGTTTATGCCACTCTATCTCTTCGTTTTTCCCCCTTTATTTAAACCTAATATCCCTTTTTTGATTCTGGGTTCTCAGTTTACGTGACTATAACTCTCCGCTTTTCACTTTTTTTTGCTCCCCCACTTTGACAAATTCAAGAATTTTCAGTTTTTCCCTGTGTATATTTAATCTACTGTCTTTTGAAATTGTCCAAATACTTGGTCAAGATTGATTCTAATATAGTGGAAGAGTCTATCTTATGAAAGCTTTTTTTATACCAAAAAGAATATGCTGTTTACTGTACGAGAAGGAAAGCCTAGGCCACGTATTATTATTCAGTTTTGTTGCACATGTTCATGTATGACTAAAAATTGAATAAAGATAGGTTGACAAACACTTTTCATAAAACGTTGATATGATAACTTACAATTGATCAGTTCATATTTGATCAGACAGGACTCATTATTGGACATGCGAGATTTATTATGAATTGACTAATTAGGAGTTAATACGTCGTGTTTATTAGAAAAAATTAATGAAAATGGTTTGTGAGTATAGTATTAATGCTGCAAATAACCAACTAAGGCTAAGCTGTCATTATAATATTTATGGAAATAGTCACATTTCATTTCTCCAAGGTCCAATTACGTTTGAAACTTATCTTTGCCTTTTCTGCCTTCTAAAAGTCGTTGTAAATGAATTGGATATATTTTTACTTTACCCATATTACCCTTATGGCTAATTGGCTCAGGCATTGCTCTAAGTTTATCTCATTTGCCTTAATTGAATCGTTCATTTTGATTAATCCAACTATAACAAGAGAAATTGCATTAATATTTAATTTTTCTTTTATTAACATTAGATTAACAAAGACAAATTACTCATGTTGATACGTGATTTTGACACCAACGAAACGTACGTATGAAATATTGTGTTGGCCCAAGAGACACATGTGAATGAAAAGGAAAATGACAGTAAATGCGGTGAGAAAGGAGTTTTAAAGTGGTTCGGATGCTAAGGAAGCAAATCCTACGTCCACTGATGTTTTTATTAATGATAAGGGTCAGACCGTTTTAGACGACTGACTTTACACTGATGATACAAGGTATCAAAGACTGTCTATTCTAGAGAGAGAGAGAGAGTTTTTGTCAAGAGTAAAATGTGCGAATCCCCTTAATGAGAGAGGAGCTCCCATTTTATAGTAGGATGCCTTGAGGTAATGATCACTGAATCTGTAAGTTGGTGGGATGATCCGTGCAAATCCTCCTTTTAGAGTAATTTACGTGATTTGCTGCAGGGATTGGACACGCGAGATCATCACAACTCTTAGCTGGCCTGACGTGCACCCATTATTCTGAAGGAAGCAAGCTGTGGGTGTTACCATGATCACACGACGCGGCTGCGCCAGAATGCCAGTAAGCTCTTCCCGAGGTCTGACCTTTCGCACTTAACTGGACGCCACGTCAGCCCTATTTTCCAGGCATATCAACTCACAAGAAGTATCAAAATTTATGTAAAAAATTTAAGCCTCGGTATCTGCATACATGCAATAACATAAGAAATCAGATAAAAAAATATGGGTAAGAGCGAGTCAATCATGAAAATAAAACAGGGATATGATGGTAAATTGGGACGGGAACAAAATCTTAAAAAACCGGTAAATCCGTTACATAGGACAGGTAAGCAAGGTTAAAAAACTTTTTGCTTTGAAACAGTCAGGCAACTAATTTAGGCCACAACGCCGGCCTTTTCGATTTACTCAGACTTCATTTATAATAATAATAATAATAATAATAATAATATTTTCAATTTTATTGTAACAAATTTTCTCTATACTTTGTTCCAATTTGTTGTTTGTTTTTCTTTTCTCTTAATTCTCATCCACAAAACCCTACTTTCTTTTCCATCGAATAATAATATATCTAACGGTTTATGCCACTCTATCTCTTCGTTCTTCCCCTTCATTTAAACTTAATATTCCTTTATTGATTCTGGGTTCTCAGTTTACGTGACTATAACTCTCCGCTTTTCACATTTTTTTTGCTCCCCCACTTTGACAAATTCAAGAATTTTCAGTTTTTCCGTGTGTTTTTGTGGGTTGGTATTGATTTTTCACCGTTTGAAGTCTACAATTTGGAATTTCGTAAGAAAAGTCAGAAAGTAAAACTTCTTTTCGCCTTGTTTCTGGGTATAAAAGAACAGAAAATTTTGGTTTACATTTGGGAAAAAGTTTTGGTTTTTTTTATTCAAGGTACTTTAGAAATGGATTCCGGTAGTGGTGGGGGAGTTGAAGGTGCTGCAAAAAATGAAAAATCCGATAATAGTGAAACTGAAAATGGGTTGGTTTCAGATGTGAAGAGTGGTAGCAAGAGGGACTTGTTTTTTAGAGCTGATAAGATTGATTTCAAGAGCTGGGATATTCAGCTGGAGAAGCACTTGAGCAGAGTTTGGTGTAAGGATAGAGAAGTTCATCCAAGGAAACAGGAAGAGTGGGAAATTGATTTGGCTAAACTTGATATAAGACATGAAGTGGCTCGTGGCACTTATGGAACTGTTTATCGCGGCATTTATGATGGCCAAGATATTGCAGGTAGACTTTGTGTATTTCCTTTCGGTTCCTCTATTGTTATAAACAACTCAATCTATGATTTCAGTCCTTTCTGATCATATTGTTTAATGATATGTGGTTCTCTTGAGTTTACTTGACTTGGTTGATATCATTTCATCAGTTTGTCACTTGGTAATAGTTATAGTCTGAAGTTTTATATAATTGTTAATGGTGTAAGTTGCTTTGATGCCTCAATAATCATCAATATCACTACTGAGATCAACCCATTGATCAGTTTGTAATATCTTGTGGATATTGCAGTGAAGATATTGGATTGGGGAGAGGATGGAATGGTCACTTCAGCTGAAACTGCAGCTCTCCGGGCATCATTTCGGCAAGAGGTGGCCGTCTGGCAAAAGCTTGACCACCCGAATGTTACAAAGGTAGAAATTTTCTAGTCTTAATTTATGATATCTTCCTCCATTCAACTAGTATATTGATGAAAATTTTTGGTCCTTTTGTCTTTGTCAAATTTCTGTCGATTCTACTCAGATTATCATAGTGTACTTGCTGTTGTTTCAAATTATAGTGTTTAAATTGTCTTTTACAGTTTATTGGAGCTTCAATGGGAACATCCAATCTTAAGATTCCTTCAGAAAGTACTACAAGTGACTACCATAATTCTATTCCTTCCAGGGCTTGTTGTGTTGTTGTTGAGTTCGTTCCAGGTGGGACATTGAAGAAATTTTTATTCAGGAATAGAAAGAAAAAACTTGCCTTTAAGGTCGTGATTCAACTTGCTTTGGACCTCTCTAGAGGGTGAGTGCAGCATATCATCATTATCTCAGCTTTTCAATTCTTGCTTTTGGGATTTAAGTTACTGATTATACGTGTTTTGCTTCTACTGTTGCAGATTGAGTTATCTTCACTCAAAGAACATTGTACATCGAGATGTGAAGACAGAAAATATGTTGCTCGATGCTAATAGAAATTTGAAAATCGCTGATTTTGGCGTTGCTCGAGTTGAAGCTCAGAACCCAAGAGACATGACTGGGGAAACTGGAACTCTTGGCTACATGGCCCCTGAGGTACCAACTCTTCTCCAATTCCTTAAAGGTCTAACAATGGTTTTTAAACTTCAAAACTATAACCACATTAACATTTTCCATAAGCCTGGAGTCTCAATTGTGACAATATCATATTTAAATGAAATTGTTGCTAGTTTTCTTCCTCCGTTCCCTTGTTCATGAGTTCACATTTCTTTGAAAGCCGGAGAAGAATTCTGACAGAGCTAACTTGTGCAGGTGCTTGATGGGAAGCCTTACGATCGGAAATGTGATGTCTACAGCTTTGGTTTATGCTTATGGGAAATCTATTGCTGCGACATGCCTTATCCTGATCTTAGTTTCGCTGATGTTTCGTCTGCAGTTGTTCGACAGGTTTGTCTGTGATTATAAGTATATATAAAACATAGACAGTTGCTTCTCTAATGTGATCATGTTGCAAATTTTTTTATTATACAGTCCTTAAATTCCAGACCTCAACTTTGAACTTCAATTAACTCTTACTCTCATAAGTTAAATCTTGCATACACAGATTGAGATTCGGATTTTAAGTAAACGAAATTGCATATAAATTTTTTGTTTCAGAACTTGCGACCAGATATACCTCGATGTTGTCCGCATTCATTGGCAGGCATAATGCGAAAATGCTGGGACGCAAACCCAGAAAAGCGGCCTGACATGGAGGAGGTGGTGAGGTTGCTAGAAGCAGTAGACACAAGCAAGGGCGAGGAGGCATGATACCTGAAGATCAAGCTCATGGATGTTTCTGCTTCATTCCAACTCGAGGCCCATGATTTGTTTTAATTTTCATTTGGTCTTAATTCATATCAATATTTGTATCATGTGCACTTCAGATAAAAAAAAAAAAAAAAAGGGTCATGAATGAAGCAGAAACAGTTTATTTCTGCACCTGAGATCATTTATTGATTTCTGTAATGCATGAAAAAATAATCTTTGCAAGACAGATAAAGCAGTGGTTCCGGTTGAAATCATACTCCCGTTTCAGTTGTATTGAAAACTAGCATTCTATTTTTGTAATTATTTCAATCAGTTGTATGAAATTCTTGAATTTCAAATTCGTTTTTGAAATAAAAGTATATGCTTAGATTAAATTCATAAAACGAAACCAGTTAATCTCAAGCCAATGAATGACGGGACACTTTGCCTTCCCCTGTCACTAGTTAGCAAGATATGGGATGAAGGAATAATTCTGTTAGGTGAGAAATAGTATAAAAAGAGAGGCAAAGGGGCGGTGAAGGCATCAGAAATTAGATGGGAAAATAGGGGAGGTGGCTGACCCTCGAAGCTCAGCAGGGGTGGAAACACTTTACTGTTAATTTCTTGTCTTTTTGTTTTATTGTTACTGATTCCTACTCTTGGATCAGTTTTAATCTACATCTTGTTAATATATAAAGCAGTTGCATTTCCATTCATTAACACTGTTATAATCCATTACATTTCCATTTCATTATCTTCATTTTTCTGTCTGATTTAATTGCCTTAATATTGCTGTATTGTTTGAATTCGTGAGGTCCCCAACAAATTGCAGTGCAGGTGAGTTCATATTATTGTTGTAGGATTTGTCATTTAAGCTTTCAGCCTATAAATGAATAATTCAATGCAGTTGAACATTGACGCTATTACTTATGCATCATGCATCGTGCAATGAGCAATACTTTATGATTTAGACATTGGTTAATTTTGATTTTGATCAATGATATTTTAATTGTTGTCAGGTTGCAGGTGTGCCAACTAATATCAACTTTCTGCAAAAACTTGCTAACCATAGGGCATTTCAAAGTGGAAATGTGGAAACTCATTTTATTCAGCACCATAAAGATGACCTCTTTGTTGATCCTAGTAGTTCCAAAATAGCAAAGGTTTCTTATAGTGCTGCAAGACTCAACGCAATGCTAGTAGCTGCATGTTTTTGTGAACTAGAACATTCTGCTTTTAAGCAAACTCCCCTTGGTAAGTTGAAGGTCTCGGTCTGGTCTTGGGTTCTGTATTAGCTGTTTTATATGGTCCTCTTAGCGTCTACATGTGGTGATTTGTCCAGGGAGCCACAGGGTACTTCCCATATGGTATGCTCATCCTCCTTTCAGAGTCCATCATCATGCTAGGCGTATTATGGAACTTGAGTGGGAGAATGAATATGATAGCAGTTGCTCGAAGCTTTTGACACTTACTGTCATTTATCAGCCAGATGGGAGCTATCTGATTGAGGTTTTTACCTTCTCAGAGTGCATTTAAAAGAATGGTGTCAACTATAAGTTCCTAAAGCTATCATGTTTAAGAGTTCATTATTCATGTCTTTTTCTGTCCTCCAGCTTCTCTCTTTTCTTCTTTTGATTGTCCCCCACTGAAATTCTTCTCAAAGTAATTCAATTTTTTTCAACGCATAACAGATGGCAGAAGATGGTTCACCTGGTTTAGAAGTCAAAGCGACATGCCTAGGTGAGCATGATTTTAGTGTTGAATTTGATGGTGCAAGCACAGATGTTAGTTTAGCTGTTTACACCAAGGTAAATGCCTCTCTACAAGCATATTTAAGAGTGCATTTCAATTGATTTATGGGGATTAAGTACACCTTTTTTTATGATTATTTGTTTATTTAGAATCTTAGTACAATTACTGAATATTTCATAAATGCCTTGCATTATATTTTATTTTAATATTAGCAGTATAAATAACCAATAACCTGAGTGTACATACTATGTTGTTGTCCTATCCGGCCTTCTAATCTGTCTCCCACCTTTCACACTGGAAGTGTTCAATCATTCTCATAGGGAAAGAAACAGTTGGTAGTTCAATCATTTCCTTGAGTGGTGTAGTGGATCATTGTCTTTTAAATGAGGACCTTATTGGATTCTGGAACTATCTTATGTCTATCCCTTCTACCATGTGGGTGTTTTTCATGTGTTTTGCCAATTTTTATCAAAGCATTTTTATTTTTATTTTTTATTTATGAGGATATCATTCAAAGTTTTCATTAAGTAAATTAAGCATTTTTAAAGTGGGATCAGATAATCACAGTACTCTCTCCATGTCTGAGGTTATTTTCTTTTTCGCTTTGGCACTCTGTGTTACTATTAAATTAAGTTCTCTAACATGGGCTGTTAGGATCGGACTAAGCACATTCATGTATGGAATGGTTTACAACACCACCATTTCAAGCAAAAATTGGGGCTTGAGTTGTCTAATGATGAAGAAATCCAACATAAGACCAGTCATGAGATTGCAAAAGGCCCTCCGGGGACTGTGGTAGCACCCATGGCTGGTTTAGTAGTAAAGGTTCTTGTGAAAGATGGGACAAAGGTGGAAGAAGGACAACCTATTTTAGTGTTGGAAGCAATGAAGATGGAGGTTCATATTCCTTTTTCTACAGTCAATGTTTTCTTTTCTCTCTTTATCCAAAAGCTGTGATTTACATTATCCATTATATCTCTATCCCTTTTTTATTCTTTAATAGCACATGGTAAAGGCACCAACTGGTGGGATTGTCAATGAGCTTCAAGTAACAGCTGGCCAACAAGTTTCAGATGGTGGTGTTCTCTTCAGGGTTCAAGGTTAGTCAATTTTGTTTTTACTCGCTCAATATGAACCAAGGATTTATCTAAAAGTACGATGTAGCCACATCAACATTGACTGTGTATTATCTTTAAGAGTAACATGGTTCCATCCTCTATAGGATGATCTCATACTTATTGATTTGTTGTTTTTCCTCCTCGCATTAGATAATTTGGGTTTAGTGCTCTGTACACAAATTACCAACTCAATCATTTTGCTTTGCCCACTGCACATGTCAAGAAAAGAAGATAAAATAATCTTTAAAAGGATAGATATCACGACTGGATGTGCCTAAACAACACGAAATTAAGCAACTAGTTTTATTCATAAATGTATTTGTTTTTAATGTCAAAACATGTCGTTATTGCCTGCAAATCCTAGTTGGAGACAACGACAAGATTGCACTCAAACAGCTCCAGTAATGGTATCTTGTTTGCTGTTCTGTGGAATCATTAACGAATCACTATAGTATGGTTCCTGACTGTTGGATTTAACATCACCAAATTTGTGGAGATATTATCAGACTGTTTGATTTAACATCACCAAATATAAGGTGATGTTATACATTGATTATTGTATGAAGGAGAGCTAGTCCCATACGATATTATAGTCTCTCGAAAGTAGGGTAGTTTGAGTTCTTATTTCCGATTCTTTCAATCAATGATCTTTAATCGTGTGGATTCACAATGGTCAATATATAGTTTCATATTATTTGCATAATCAATTGAACAAAGATTGAAGCAGATTATGTATATGGTCAGGATGAGTAGAATCTATCTTGCTGTTCCGTTGATGACAAAATCTCGCTCAATCAGAACATAGCTTGTCCCATCAAGTACAGAGGAGTTGACTACATCTGTTGCAAGAAAAATAACTTTCGGTAAGTGAACACTTGTACTCTTTGTCCACATCATATAAGGAAATCTACCATCTTCGGATGTAACAGCGAAAATAACTCTTGTAAACTACATTTGTTCTGGTAATAATAAATACTTTCCAGTTCGTTACTAGCTATAGATTACTGGTCTCTGTTACGCATTTGCACCCACACACCAAGGATGAAAATGAAATATCAACCGAAACCCTGTTAGTAAAGGAAAAAAGTCATCAGTTTCATGATCTACCGTTTTTTTGAATTTTGTTTAGTTCTTTTTTTTTAGTCAAGCTATGAACACAGCCATGATTTATATTTTTCTATTCAAGGGATAAGCAGACTTCTTTAACCTGATGATTTCTGGTCTAATTCCCATTAAATTCTGATTGAACTTTCTCCCACTATTGGCGTGCATTTGCCACACTTATAGTGGGGCCTTTGTTCATTTATTCAGTTTATCGGTGCTGATTCTTTGCTTAAGTCAATTGTCTTATTCAACTTATTCCAGCCGCCCAGGTTTCCCACGTTATTTTCAATTCTGACTAGCTGACCACAAGTTATTGGTAGAAATTTCTCTTTATTATTCCACGCTAATTTTGAGTAATTAGAATATGGTGGATAGATAGATTAGATTAGCGATAATCTTTATCAATCCCCCTGCGCCATTCTGATGGCAGCATGACACACACACCATCGATAATTTTAATTTAGAAATTAGAAATTTTATTAATCCTTCCTGCCTCAGCCACAAGCCAACGCCATATTGGGTGGTGATGCAACCAAATTTTCAGACCTGAAGCTCGCAAAAAAACAAGACAAATCAAACATGTTGAATTGTGGAGAATTGGTGTTTTGTTCTGTTGGTACTGGATTACCAAACATCCCACCATGTTTTGTTTTTGTTCTCAAACACACACTTGGTTGAATCTGAATGAGATGCCAGCTGCATATGCCAATGTATTGATATCCACAAAACCCTCCACCTTGTTTTGGAGAATGTCAAGAACATTCAAAGCCTTTTTTTTTTTTTTCTTTTCTCTTTTTAAAATAAAATATTTTTGTAAGGAAACTGCGTACTTGGTGGGGGAAAAGGATGTGTCAAATGGGTCTAACCTAATCACTCTTTTAATCAACAAAATACTCTGATACAGCTGCCTAAACTATGGATTTTCTGTATGGTGAGAATAAGATTATAGTTTGTGATGTTTGCAAAAAATAAAATAAAATATGTTTTGTATTAATGTCAATTTGACATATATTCTTCACGTAGTGGGGCATATGAAATGAAAAGTGATATCGGTAAATTCTTTATTTAATCTACTGTCTTTTGAAATTGTCCAAATACTTGGTCAAGATTGATTCTAATGTAGTGGAAGAGTCTATCTTATGAAAGCTTTTTTTATAGCAAAAAGAATATGCTGTTCACTGTATGAGAAGGAAAGCCTAGGCCACGTATTATTATTCAGTTTTGTTGCACATGTTCATGTATGACTGGAAATAGAATAAAGATAGGTTGATAAATACTTTTCACAATTTTTTTCAGAAACGTTGACATGATAACTTACAATTGGTCAGTTCATATTTGGTCATACAGGACTCATTGTTGGACATGTGAGATTCATTGTGAATTGACTAATTATGAGTTAATACGTCGCGTTTGTAAGAAAAAGTTAGTGAAAATGGTTTGTGAGTATAGTATTAATGCTACAAATAACCAATTAAGGCTAAGCTGTCATTATAATATTTATGGAAATAGTCACATTTCATTTCTCCAAGGTCCAATTACGTTTGAAACTTATCTTTGCATTTTCTGCCTTCTAAAAGTCGTTGGCAATGAATTGGATATATTTTTAGTTTACCCATATTACCCTTATGGCTAATCGGCTCAGGCATTACTCTAAGTTTATCTCATTTGCCTAAATGGAATCGTTCATTTTTATTAATCCAACTATAACAAGAGAAATTGCATTAATATTTAATTTTTCTTTTATTAACATTAGATTAACAAAGACAAATTACTCAACTGTTGATGCGTGGTTTTAACACTAACTAATCGACACGTGCGTAACGTTGATTGGTCAAGAGACACATGTGATTATGGATAGAATGTAGAATAAATGCAATGAGAGTTTTTTAAAGTGGTTCGGATGCTAAGGTAGCAAGTCCTACGTCCACTGATTTGTATTAGTATTGTGGGTCAGGTCGCAACAGCGGACTGACTTACAAATGATTAGGGAAAAATAAATACAAAGTTTACAAGAGAGAGAGAGAGAGAGAGAGAGAGAGAGAGAGAGAGAGAGAGAGAGAGCTAGTTCAGAGTGTAAAAATAGCCGAATCCCCTTAATGAAGGGGTCTTTCTCTTTTTATAGCGAGATGAATGCAAGTAATCATCATTAAATCCATGGCTTAGTGTGAATGTCAGGATTAAATCCGGCTTTATGCCACATTGCCCTTCTTCTAAGCTGATTTCACGCGATTTGGAGCAGGGAGTGGACACGTGGGAGCTCCACGGCGTCTTGTAGGCCTGACGTGCGTTTACCGTTCTGACAGGAGCAAGTCACACTTCATCACGTGATTTCTCATGTCAGCCCTTGATTTCCCAGGCATAACAGAAGTCCCCTAGTTTTTAAGGTTTGAGGATCGAACCTTGGAAACTAAGTCATGCCGCGATTGGAGGTTCTGATAATTTCGACCTGAATGGAAAAAGTTCGGGACAGGGCCTTTTGCAAACACGACCTCGCACAAACTTTGCTCCAACGACCTGACAATCATTATCCTAGCGACCTGGATTCATTGGGCGTTTCTTATCGTGCCTTAGGGTTGGAGATTTAATGAGCCTGTTTCTGCGCTATCAGGCGCTCTGCACGTGTTAAAGCGTCTGGCAGGTGCATTAAATGCGTTGTGTGCTGACCCGACGTTGTTTTGACAGAGCATTAATTGCACGACACACTCGAAACGACAACCCTCATCACAACATTGAATGCGACGTGAGGCGCATTTAATGCGGAGAGAGAGAAGGCTGTCGTTTCGATTCCGAGGGGTGGTAACCGTCTGTTCGTAGTCCATATAAAAGCCCAAATTTTTCAGATGATGCCACTTGAATCCCTTGTGCCTCGAGCGAAAAATCTTTGCAAACCGGAAGTTCTTCTTTTCCGATTGGCATCTCTCCGATATCCGAAACAAGAACCGTCCTCGGTCACGCGCCCCAGAAGGTAAGGTCTTTTTCTTTCTTTATTTTGGGGGTGCAATGGCGTTGGGTCTCCTGGTGTTTCATCAGAGACGCGACGCTGGCGTCGGGTTCGAGCCGTGGATGGCGGCTCGAGTTACTGTTAGGGTTTAGGGAATTTGTTCCATGCCGTCGTGCGGGGCAACGTGCGATGGCTAAAATGACCTTCTGTCTGTCAGTGTTGCAGACTGTGGAATGGAACCTTCAACGTCCAGACCCGAGGAAGGAGCCAGTTCATCTTCGCGGGACGTTCCCGTGGGCGCATCCTTTGATGTCTTCTCGGTTCTCACCCGAGAAGAGTTCGAGAGGATAAAAAGACAGTTTGACGTCCGCGCAGAGGTGTTCCTCGACGCCACCCAGTCGTCGCGGCATCCTTCCGATGGCCTAGCTGCGATCTCCAAAGAGATCTTCAAGGGTGGAGGGATGATTCCTTTCCACCCTTTCATTAGGTCGGTTTTGGATCACTTCGGGATCGCACCAATGCAGTTGATACCAAACGCGTATGTCATCGCCGTTGCGATGTACATCGCGTGCCGCGAGAGTGGCTTGGGCGAGCTAACGGCGGTGGAGCTCGGCGTCGCCTATTTTCTAAAAAAGAGTAAGGACAAGGACTCCTATTACTTGTCCCGACGACCTACCATCGCCGAAGGGATACATAGCTATCCCAGCAACGTAGGGGCCTACGAGGCGAAGTTCTTCTTTTTCTGCTACGACGGCTACTGCCGCTTTCAGAAACCAAGTAAGTTTTTCTTCGCTAGGTTCATTGGATGTTCGCTTCCTTTATTATAACGACCTGCATTCTTTTGCAGTTAACAAGACGACCAGCCAAGACCTGCTCACCGACCCGGACAGGCTTGTGTCTTTTGGAGTCCTTTCCGAGGAAAGTCGGGACGCGAGAAAGCTCGTGACGACCGCGAACTTGCGGAAGTGGTTTTTTTAGTAACAACGCGTCTTTGGAGTCCCCAGAATGTAAGTTACACTGATTCCCTTCTAGTCGTAGAATAATTTTTGTTTAGTTACTAATGTACTTAATAATTTTTGTTTAGTTACTAATGTACTTGCAGCATCGACTATGCCTCCGAAAGAATCCGAGCAGCCCCGACGAGCGCCATTCAACTTTCCTCGATCGAGGAGGGCCAGGGGAGGTGAAGCTGCTCCCCCCACAGAGGCACAGCCGGTGCAAACTGTCCTGCCTCCCCAGCCTCGTCCTGAGGAAGAGACGACCAGGACAGAACAGGTCGCTCAGCCATCACCTGCTCGCCCGAGGCGTAAGGCAATTTCTCAGCGGTCGAAGAAGAGGAAGCAGATTCAGGTCGACGAGTCAGAGACTGAATTTGAGGACGAACCCCTGAGGTCGCGAAGGGACGTCAGAAAGAGGTCGGGCAAGGAACCCGAGGTAGAGACGGTGGCTGCCGACCAGGCGAAGAATCACCAGTGCTAGACGCGCTTGGGAACCTGCCCGAATACTTGCAACCGATAGTCTACTTGAGTGTGGGCTATCAGAGTCATACAATCAGTTCGCCGATTCGAGCGACGTTGACCTGATGATCATGTCGTTTTAGCATTTAACCAAGGTAAACAAATTGTCCTTGAAGAATGTCCGCCTTTTTCGTTCTAACTCTTTTTTGCTCGTAGGCTCTGCTCGCCATGAGAATGTCCCTAGAGAAAGCTCGGCTGGGGGCCACGAAAGGGGAAAACAATCTGAAAGATGAGATCGCGAAGCTCACACAGAGCCTGGAGGACGTTGAAGCGGAAAGAACGCTGTCTGCTGAGGCAGCAAACAGATACTTGAACCAAAAGATGGCTGCTATGCGCACAGTTGACTTTCAAAAGACGGAGCTTGAGCGACGTGCGGAGGAAGTGAAAGAGCTTCAAAGGACAAATGCTAGACTTTCCAAGGAAATC